AGAAGTTAATTTTGCCATATTCCAATTATTAGATGCAAATGAATAGGCTCGAGGGGAGGGAATTACACAAGGACATGTATAGTAGGAGGTGGGATCATAAGAAATGATTTTACATGCTGCTTACCACTCATGTAATATCCTAGTGTAGTAAAATCCTCAGCTCTTACTAATGAAGGTATTTTACCTTTTAGTGTTAATTCATGAAACATACATTGTCCAACAGAGAAAATGATGCACAAGTTTAATTTTGTAAGGAGGAACTGTAAGAAAAAATAAGACTTGTGGAAGTGTTCTTTTTTTGCCCCTTCTTGGCTTTTGTTTGCAAAAATTTATGAAAAATTTCCAGCAGTGAAAGATTAAAATATTAACAAAATTATATATAACTTTATTTTTTAAATGCAAATATTCATTTGTATTTCCTACATAAGTAACCAGATTTTCAAAAGTCTACTACAGACACTGTAAACACAAAATTTCATGTGTGTGTATATATATATATATATATATATATATATATTTTTTTTTTTTTTTTTTTGAGACGGAGTTTCGCTCTTGTTACCCAGGCTGGAGTGCAATGGCGCGATCTCGGCTCACCGCAACCTCCGCCTCCTGGGTTCAAGCAATTCTCCTGCCTCAGCCTCCTGAGTAGCTGGGATTACAGGCACGTGCCACCATGCCCAGCTAATTTTTTGTATTTTGAGTAGAGACGGGGTTTCACCATGTTGACCAGGATGGTCTCGATCTGTCGAGCTCGCGATCCACCCACCTTGGCCTCCCAAAGTGCTGGGATTACAGGTTTGAGCCACTGTGCCCGGCCTTAAAATATATTAAATAAAATAATTTATAATTTCAAAATTTTAATTTTATAATGTTTTGATATTTTATTCTTAGGCTAGTTATTACATTGGCTTTTTTGATCACGAAACAGGAAATAAGTGATATTAAAGACAGAAAATCATGCATGGATTTATAAATATAACATGAATTTAACTTCTCAGTATTCCTGATACATGTATTTTTTTTCTTCTAAAATGGAAGTAAATTACAACCAAATAAAACCTTATATTTTTGTATAAAATATTTTCATACTTTGCCTGCTGCAAAAATATATGTATCTTATGAACCAAAATGTCAGTTTTATATACTTCTAGTGAATAGAGATATATATTTATATACGGCATCATAAATTTATAGAAGCCCCTTGGACATCCTTTAGTCCTTGGTTCGTACTATGTATCTAACTAAACTGAAGCACAGAGGCATCAAGTGAGATGCTGAAAGTTACACCTAAGCAGCTGAAGTAAAACCATAACGTAAATATTCACTTTAAGTACGTGTATACTTACTACACTTTAAAAAACCTTGAAATCTTGTCATCATTGAAATTTTCTGCAGATACTTTGCATAGAATCACAGGGCCAGAATAATTTTTAATTTTATTTACTTAGTCCATGCCTTGTCATCACAAATCTGAGGATGGAGCTAAAAATCACAGCCTGTAAGATTCTTTCATTCTATTTTTGGAGCCAATGAAGTTTTTTATATTTGGCAAGTCCTCTCTCAAATGCTTGCAATTGTGTAACACTATTCCTCTGAGGGGAGGTTGAATATCATAGAGGTTATCTTATGAAACCTCATCATTTTTATAATGCCATGATATATAGACACTTAGATGAGGAGTTCAGAAGAGTAAAATAAAGGTCAATTAGGAAGGTATGTGCATGTTCATGTAAGAGATGATGGTGACATTGATTGAGGTTATAATCATGGGGATGAAAATGCTTTTTGTTAATGTCATTATCCTAATAAAAAAACTTCAGTACTATCCTATTCACCTTTTTTAAAGGCCAAACTTCTTTATATTTAACTTTTATAAATGTTGTTGAGGAATTGCAGTATTTTTCTTTTCATAGACAAAGCAGCACTATTTTTCTTACAGTAAATGCAAGAAGCTTTTAATCCACTTGAAATTCATTCCGCCTGAAATTCACTCTACCGTTCATTCTTTAAAAATATAACACTTTCTTCAAGTACCTGCTCAAATCCTTCCTGCTTCAATAAAACATCCCTGGTGAGACTAGCTGGTTTTATTCTTCCTACCTCTAATCTCTTCAATATTTCTTTGTTTTGTTGTGCTTTTTTCAAAGGTACCAACAGATGCTGCCTGTTATCACAGGGTTATCTATCTGTGAACCACTAGATCATGTTTTTCAAGGCATTGTATTTCCAGTGTCAAGCACTGAGCTTTGCACTGAAGGTATATTTAATAAATATTTTTGTAAGATAAATGAAAATATTAACTTCATTACTAGAGCCAATGGTACCCTCAGAGCAACTGGTTTCAGATATATTTGTGGCTGAGGTCAACAAAACATGAGATAATGACTGGTTTTATATCTCTTAAAAGCTCAGTCAAACATTTAATAAATTTACTGTGGCTGGAAACCTATTCCATATTTCTTCACTATTAACTCATTTCTACTTTTCAGCATAATCTATAGGTACCTTACTTTATGAACACTTCTCTGAACAGTTTGCCTGTTTATTATTATTATTATTATTACTATTAATATTTGAGATGGAGTTTTGCCTGTTGACCAGGCTGGAGTGCAATGGTGCAATCCTGGCTCAGTGCAACCTCCACCTCCCAGGATCAAGCTATTCTCCTTCCTCAGCCTATGGAGTAGCTGGGATTAAAGGAATGCACCATCATGCCCAACTATTTTTTTTTTTTTTTTTTTTTTTTTTTTTTTAGTAGAGGTGGAGTTTCTCCATGTTGGTTAGGCTGGTCTCGAACTCCGGACCCCAGAAGATCCACCTGCCTTGGTCTCCCAAAGTGCTGGGATTACAGGTGTGAGCCACAGTCCCCAGCCACCTGTTCATTATTTATGCCAATTCCTATAACCTAAAAGTAAACTATTCCTATTTTGCTTAATTTAATTTTATTATATATCAACCATTTGATAAATATACTTAAATACTTTCATAGTTATTTATGTTATATAGCATTTACTAATATGCACTTTTAAAGAGTATATAATTTGTAGAGTTGCTCTACAAACATCAGACTATCAAATATTGATAAACTGGTTATTGATAGAAAATCCAATCTGTACATCTGAGAAAGATATGTTTTCTTCTAATTACAGATGGAGTATTCCTTATTTGAAATTCTTGGGACAAAAAGTGTTTCAGATTTTGGATTCTTTCAGATTGTGTGATAATTTCATGATACTTAGGTTCAGTATTCCTAATCCAAATGCTCCAATGAGTACTTTCTTTGAGCATCCTGTTGGTGCTGAAAATGTTTCAGATTTTGGAACAATTTGAGATTTTGGATTTTTGGGTTCAGCATGCTCAACCTTTATTATTTTCTTATTAATTTTACCACTTTGTTGTCTTCCACAGTCAAAGAAATGTATGAGTCAACGATATCAAACTTACAGGGAAGAAATTCTCATTAAGGCTACTGTCTATACATAAACAGAGAAAACATCAAATCTCTCCACATAAGTAATTACAAATTTACATATTAAACACAAAATAGCTCCCCTCTTCTAAATTGTCAGCTATAGTTCCACTCAAGTGACAGGTTTGTATACAATTAAGAAGATAAGCAGTTAGCAGTTTCTGAAAACCTGAGACCAAATCATAACTCAGGGTTTCAAAGTGCTCATGAATGTGAAGAGATACAGTCATTGCCTAATAATTAATTTTAATTTTTACCAAAGTTAAGCTTTTTATAATTTATTTAAAAGTCACAAAAGAAATCGCTATAATTCTTAATTTACTCTGAAAGGAATTATGTTTACATTTTCCTAACATCTGTATTATTAGAATACCTTTGGCTTTCTATCATTACTATACATATGAGATATTTGAAGGAAATTTTATTTTAGGAGTTCTAAATGAGGGACAAATCTCCTCCATATTGCATAATCGAAAAATGGTGCCATCTTGAGGAAAGATAAATGTGCAGAAGAAAGTAGAGGGGAGCCTGCTTGATGAGATGCAGATGGATTCATAGTGTGGACCGATATGAAGTCCCAAATCAAATTCTTACATGCTTCTGAGGTAGCCTCCAATTAGGACCCCTTTCCTCCCTTCCCTTCCTACATACTTAGCATGGCAGAGGATAGGCAGATGTCAGGTGGATTTTATTATGAGGCCAATGAGCCACAATTCTATTCCTCTCTCTTTTGAAGCCTTTCATATGGCTACACTGTTATAAAGCAATCATATATTTTTTTTCTTTTCCCCAGACCATGTCCTGAACATTAAGCAAGAGGGGAGACTGAATATTACATTGGGGATGAACTGCATAATACTAAAGTCCCTAAAAATATTGTTTAATACTTTATTGATAATTGTTTCACAAAGATACAGTATTCATTGCCACCACTGTGACTTTGGTTAGATTCATTTACCTTCCTGGAACATGCTCTCTTTTCTCTCTCTCTCTTTTTTTTTTTTTTTTTTTTTTTTTTTTTTTTGAGACAGAGTCTTGTTCTCATCGCACAAGCTAGAGAGCAATGGCATGGTCTCATCTCACTGCAATCTCTGCCTCCCGGGTCCAAGCGATTCTCCTGCCCCAGTCTCCCGCATAGCTGTATCCGGCTAATTTTTTGTATTTTTAGTAGAGATGGGGTTTGGGTCCAAGCGATTCTCCTGCCCCAGTCTGCCGCATAGCTGTATCTGGCTAATTTTTTGTATTTTTAGTAGAGATGGGGTTTTCACCATGTTGGTCAGGCTGGTCTCAAACTCATGACCTTCGGTAATCCACCCTCCTTAGCCTCCCAAAGTGCTGGGATGACAGGCATGAGCCACCGTTCCTTGCTGCTTTCTAATTTTTTAATCTACTTTAGGTGAATCACAACCTCCTTTGAAATTTTTTGAATATTGCGTATACCTTGTGGTAGAGACAGCAGAGTATAGCACAGTCTTTCCCAAAATATCTTTCTAATATCCTTATTTGAAAGGGAATGTTGAAGACTTTAAAAGTGTATTGATGTATGGAAGTCTTTGAAAAGTACTTGAGTAAATGAAATCATTTCAACTTTTTAAAACTGAACATTTCTTAAACTTCTACAAGAATTGCATCTTTATTTAATGTAATAACCTTCTTGAAAAATACACTTTGATAAATGCTGGAGAAATGTAAAAAAATATAGGTTAGGGGGCCAGACAGACTTGGGTTTAAACCTTACTTCCATAGCTTAATAAAAATTCTCATTACATTTACTTAAATCACTACGCTTCTGTTCCTGCATTTGGCAAAAAGAAATGTTTCATACCAGTAGGTATTCTAAAATATGCTTCTTTTACATTGTTTCTTCTTGGGACCTGAAATTCAATTGTTTTATGCAGTTTAGTGTGTTTTCTTCTAAAAAGTAGGAAATATATTGTGTTCATCTTTTAAATATTAAGTACAATCTTGCACATGCTAGGTGTGGGATAGACTATTTCTGCTTGAGTAATGCTTTATAGTGTGGTTACATTGTTTAGTTTACTTTCAGCATTTCTGTTGTAGCAGATATACAGCCTTTAGATTCATTGACAAAAGTTTTTTTTTATTTTTATTAGTTCTAATGCTGAATGTTCCATATCATTATTCTCTTACATTATACATTTGACAGTTGGTGCATTGTGGGGTTGTCTATGTAACTTCATGAATATGTCCAACTTCAGTTATTTCCCATACTGAAACTGAGGTTGTCATTATTGTTACTGCTAATACATACCAGAAGATCACACTATTCTGGTGGTGCTGCAACTGTAACAGTTTGATAATTCAAGATATTTGTAAAATTGCGTTATGGGAGGCTTCCTTAAATAGTGGATTCTCTTTAATAGGCACACTCAAATCTGCAAATGAATAACTTTGTTTTAGCCAGATGTATACTCTTTATCTCTGAGAAATTTTGGATCATAGTTTTGAAAGATGATTCTTTTTGCTTTTGAATGCATTTCTCACAATTAGTCTAATGATCTACTCCTTCCTGGAGGGCTTAATTTGTGAGTTATCTCCTCTGTAACAACATGAAATCTCCTTGAAAATAACAAGTTCAGTTTATTTAGATTGAGGCCATTGCAATACAGAACAAAGTTCAGTTTATGCACTTCTCTGTGTGCCATAGATAAAATTATTCTGATTTTCCCCAAGGTTAATGGGCACAGGGTGACATTTAAATGATATTGTAATAATCTAATAATTTCCAGTGCTAATTAGTACAATCCCAGACCACAAGTGAACATAAGAACTTTTTCTCTGTTTGAGGGTAAGTAAAATAACTTCACAACTAACCTAATGCTAGGTGCTTCATTACAGTTTACACAAACATTGAATTTTCCTATAAATATTTTGACAAATTGCATTCCAAACAATAGTAACAGTCAATTCTCATTTTTCTGTGTTGTCTGCTTTATGTACAGTCCCCACACACAGGTCAGTGAGGAGCTGCTATGTCTCCTGTGCCCGGTAGTCCAGACCTAGAAACATGAAGGAACATAGACAAGCAATGAATATAATGAGAAGAACCTAAGCTTTGCAGTCCAACCTGAATTTGAATCTTGGCTCTGCAAACCACAATTTCCTTATCTATGATGCCTACCTCACAAAATTTTAGTACAAAATTAATATGTCTTAATGAAGAATATATTAAAATATGTAATCATTTTACATACGTCATGTATATGTAAAATGCCTGGCAGGGTGCCTTGATGCTAACAGCTCTCATATATAGTTGCCTTTTAATATGAAATTTTACTATGAAATCACTTTACAGTCTTATATTTATCAATAGTAAGTAATTTAGGTATATTATTTATGCTTCTAAATTACTCAGGCCAACTCTTTTTCTTTTTGATTCAGCTGCATATTAGAGAGTCTTTTTCCCATGACATTGATAATGCCTCCTAAGTGTCAGTGGGCTTTGTGGAATAAGTATTATCAGAGTGATTTGGGGAAGGATTAAATAGTAATCTCTCCACTATGCTCCCCATTTCTAGATTAATGGTTTAAAAAATGGCTTAATGGTTGTTAGGATTATGTGCTAATAATATTAGTTAAGCTTTTAGAAAGTTTGGAAAATGAGAAGCCACTAAGGAATGGAATGAGTTCTCTATGTCCTTAAGTAGAAGCTCTTTTCCCCTCCACTACTTGTTTGTGGTATCCTTCATGACTAGTACGATTATGAACTTTTCTGCCTCAGTAATGCGTGCATAATATGTAAACTAAAGAATCTCTGAGCTAGAAAATTGATTTTATGCTTATAAGGAGTGAAAATTTCTACCAAACCTAATAATATTACTATTTTTTTCTCTAAGAGCTACTATCGTCCCTTGCAAAAATAACAGGAGAGAATTATGTATAATTCTAATTTTACCACCCTCCCCCTGAATAGAGTTCTACTAGAAACACTTCATGCTTCTTTCTTTTTCATTCTTTAATGACTGCCTCGTATATTGTCTCAGTATTACAAGTTTCTTTCCTTACTAGATTTTCAGTATATGATTGAGAAATGCCATTCAACTCAGATAATTTTTTTTTATTTTTGAGATTAATGTCAAATTAATTATATCATAAATATTTGTGTCAAATTAGATATTTTTCTTTATCTTCCTTCTAGCTCTAACCTACTTAATTACATTTACTTCTCTCTACACCTTCTCATGAACGCTAGAATTCAGCTATAGGAAATACCTATCAGTGTACACTCCATACATTATCTACTTTCATGACTTTGTTCCTTTCTCAATTTGTCCCGTCTCTACTTTTTACATGTCTTAATTCTACTTATTCTTCAAGGTTCTACCAAAATGATATTCTTCTACATAACATTCTTTGATCTATTCATAAATTCTGAATCCCTTTTAATCTTAATAATATTTAATTCAAATACAAGGATTATGTCATGATTTGTTACATATTTGGAAACTTATGGATCTGTCTTACTCTTAGTTGTAGTTTATACACCAAATGAAATAAGAAACTATGTCTATGTCATTTAATATTTACATTTTCATCCACATGGGGAAAATAAAACTAAGAATCAAACAGAATAAAAATTTATTTTAAATAAGGCTTTTACTATACTACAGTCATACACATATGAATTTAATGTAATAAAATTAATGGCTGGTATATACAGATAAATATGAGATATGAAATCTGTTTAAAAAAAAACATTGTTGCCTTTGAAGGACAAGCTTTTTAATGGAGAAGAAATATTATAAGCATTACATTAGTACAAATCAAGGTTGATAGACACTTAAACAAGTGCAAATAGAGCACTTGATAATATCCAGATGAGAGGTGATGTCATCTTAAAATTCATGATAGTATAAAGCATTCCTTTTTTAATGAAGTTGAAGAAGGCCATCTCTAGAGAATAGAAAGAAGTCTGTCCGTCATCAGTATTGAGAACATTGCAGTATTGAAAATAAAGAAATATAAATTTAACATCTAAAAGAATCTCAAGCATTCTTAAGCCAAATGCTTCAGTTAAAAGGGGTTAACAAATACATTTAAAATGTAAACACTTCTTTGTGAAGCATGTCATAATTAAAAACAATAAAGCAAAACTATTTGGAATCTCATATATTTATAAAATATATATTTTCCTGCTACAAGGACAAATATATTTTTTCTTTTCAGTTCTGAAATATGCCCTGTATCATCAGTGTAGTTTGTAGGTCTGTTCATCAAAAGTGTGGGAAGTAGCTCATGCCAGAAAGAGCATACTCATGCATGCTCTATCAAGTGATCATCATTGTAATATTGGCTTTAGAATGATTCGCTTCTGTACCTGGATCTGAGCTTAATTTTAACTACAAATGTAGGAATGGCTTTCACCAAGCATATCGTTTTGACAAGTTACCTCACACTTCTGGGTCCTAATTTTTAATCTTTAAATGCTAGTTATGTTACTTATTACTTCCATATATGAATTTTGATAATATGTTGTATTAGAAAATTATTAGTTTTTTAGTGATAAATCAATGAGGAAATTCTCTGAAAACGATGTTTCTTTACAAGAAAAGTACCCAGGTTGGAAATAATACAAACATTATAAAAATATGTGAATCATGACTGTCAATTCATATTATTTATTTTTCTTAGTATATTTTCAGTTTACTGAATTCATATGCTTGCTAGGAGCTAGAGGCTTTATATATATTCCCATATTATTTGACAACATAAGAAAATCAAACTATTATATCTCACAGAGCAAATATTTTAAAGATTTCACAATTGCAGTTTTTTTCTTTAATACAATTTCTTGATTATAGCACTTAAGCTATTAAACCGCTATCTAACTATTCATAAATTTCTATCTATCTTTTTTCTTTAACACAATTTCTTGATTACAGCACTTAAGCTATTAAACTGCTGTCTATTTAGCTATTCATAAAATTCTATCCATCCATCCATCCATCCATCGATTTCTATAGCTAGACTATAATCTCTTCAAGACTGGTATCTGACTTCAGTTTCTACTACTGGTTCCTAATTGAGTGATACAGTGCCTGGCAAATGTGCATACTCCTATGGTGTGTGCTAAAGAAAAGAAAGAAATTAACAAATCTTATTCTCCCATGTTGTATAGGCCCAGTACTAGTTGCTCTCAGACTAGTGAATAATTTATTACTTTTCATAGTTTAAAGAATGCTTATAATTGAATGTGTTGGTTTGCTATTGCTGTGTAACAAATTACCACAAACATAGCAATTTAAAATAGCATATATTTATTAATTAACAATTTTGTATGCTAGAAGTCTGGCACTGTGTGGTTCTCTCTTCAGTATATCACAAGGAAGAAATCAAGTATCAGATAAGTTGAGTTTACTTACACAATCTCTGTTTGTAAGCTAGGAGTATTTGGAAACAGTGGAAGTTCGTGTGCTCTTTGCTGACCATTTATGGTTTTGAAAGCCTAAGAAGTTTCAATAAACTGTGTAGATATGCCTAGAAGCTGGTGCAAATTTTTGGGTGAAGTATTTAATTAACTTGGGGAGGTATGTGAAATGCAGGTTAAAATAAAATTAAAAACTAATCAAGGGACAACATCTCAAA